AAACAAACAGAAACAAAAGAATGAAAGAGCGCGCAAACAATCAAACGAATCAGTGACCAAACAAACAGAAACAAAAGAATGAAAGAGCGCGCAAACAATCAAACGAATCAGTGACCAAACAAACGGAAACAAATGAATGAAAGAACGCGCAAACAAACAAACGAATCAGTGACGAAACAAACAGAAACAAAAGAATGAAAGAGCGCGCAAGCAAACAAACGAATCAGTGACGAAACAAACAGAGATAATTGAATGAAAGAACATTAAAATAACAAACAAATCAGTGACGAAACAAACAGAAACAAATAAATGAAAGAGCGAACAAACAATCAATTGAATCAGTGAAGAAACAAACAGAGATAAATGAATGAAAGAACACCAAAAAAACAAACGAATCTTTGACGAAACAAACGGAAACAAAAGAATGAAAGAACGCGCAAGCAAACAAACGAATCAGTGACCAAACAAACAGAGATAATTGAATGAAAGATCACCAAACCAACAAACGAATCAGTGACGAAACAAACAGAAACAAATAAATGAAAGAGCGAACAAACAAACAAACGAATCAGTGACGAAACAAACAGAAACAAATGAATGAAAGAGCGCGAGAACAAACAAACGAATGAGTGACGAAACAAACACAAACAAAAGAATGAAAGAACACCAAACCAACAAACGAATGAGTGACGAAACAAACAGAGATAAATGAATGAAGGAACACCAAAAAAACAAACGAATCAATGACGAAACAAACAGAAACAACTGAATGAAAGAGCGCGAGCACAAACAAACGAATCAGTGACGAAACAAACGCCTACGGCTCGTTCTTCTCCTTCCACTTCTTTGTGCTTACGTAACTGCCTGCGTGCTTTATAATTATATTAGGTGCTTTAAGCTTTTTTATTTGTTCATTATTAGCATTGTTAACAGCAGCAAAATGGCTGCCATGCTTTTGACTGTGTTTTGAATGCTTGTAGCCGATCAATACCTGTATACTGCCATCCTTGTCCAAGACTTCAGCTACTGCGTTAGATTCTATAAACTGTACAATACCTGTACATGACATAATAAAAACAATAACTGAGAGAAAAATAGTATTTGATAAAGAATACCAATGTACATRAGGTACAGGATTGGAACATGAAGTACACCTACACACTTTGTAATATTAGAAGATAAACAAACAAATGAAACCAAACTCACCATGGGTAGAACTTGTTGCAAGTACTTTATACGGAGTCAACTTTAGGTCGAGATTCTCTTTCATCAAAAGCTGGTGGGAAAACTTTAAATGTTAATGCGTTTTCTTCCCATCACTTTATCTAGTTTTGGATATGAGAGATGAGGCAGTAAGCCGTGTGGGATGGGCTCGGAAATCATATAAGGACATGCGTAATAGGATGTTTTGGATAGTCAATAAATCCTTTTGGTTTGGGCGTAATGTTTTCCCATTTAGAGAATCCAAGAAGACAAATSAATGTGGATACGATACAAACAAAAAATAACTAATAACCTTATTCTCAAGGRAAATGACACGTGGTTTGAAATGGGAAAATATTACGCCCAAACCAAAAGTGACTAATAATGATAATAATAATATTTAGGCGACAAGAGCAAAAAAACTTTTTTGAG